CATGTCCAAATTCCATTACACATACACACACACATACACACACACACACACACAAACACACAAACCTGGGCTGCACAAATCCAAGTGATCACTACCTTGCAGTTAAGTTTAGCTGCCATCTAGAGGCCATTAGGTCCATAAGTTGACAGCCTTAAAAATCAGAGCACCAGTCTTACAAACACCATCCCGACACACTTTCCCTGTGCCAATTGCTAGCTATTCCTATGCTGAGAGATGATCTGATTTTGGCTATGGAAAATGTCCAATTGTTGCCCTTCCAAAGTTGCACAGAGAAGCTTCGTAGACAACAAGCACACTGGTCCTGTTTGGGGTGCACTCAAAAACGTGCTGTAGGGGCAGCATGATTTTTACTGATATGATTTCCTCTTTGCTCTGGGACAGGAGGAAAGCATAGTACATTGACTGTGAAGGGCATTTCTAAAGCTGTGATCATATGTCACACTGGTTCACCAACTAGCCAACCATATTTCAGCATAAATTAAACTATATCAGTGTTTCATGCAAATTCAGTTGATGACTGTGAGCTCCCTAAGCAAAACTAGCAAAGAAGGGGAAAGGAAGGGTGAGGGAAGTGAGGAGGAAGAGGAGGAGGGAGAGGGAGAGGGGGAGGGGGAGGAAGAAGAAGAGGGGGGGAGATGGTAAAGGTTGGACAATTTCCAGAATTTGTAGCATCAGGAAGATGAACATTAGTAGTAGTGTTAAGAAGTGGAGAGAAATACTGATCCATACAGAACTGTCTCAACAAAAGAAAAAAGTTCATTTTTTTACTTTACTAAATATTTACAAACATAATCAAGAACATCATGCCTTCAAAATCTAAGGGACTGGTTTGGACAAAACTCAGCAGCACTTTTTTGTGCGGCTGCTGATAAAAACAGGATCGCCAACATGATTGCCAACGTCCGATAACGGATATGGCACAACAAGAAGAAGAAGAATCAAGAAAAAAAAAACAGAAAGTAGGAAAAGCAAAAAAGTAAATAGGGAAGAGACCTATAGATGTAAAACTGAATATAAAATTCAAAGGAACAGAAACACGTAAGGGGTAAAATTGAAAAGATAAATGGCAGACTTTTGAAATCAAAGGAGGAATAGATTTAATTTAAATCATTTTTCTGTGAGTTATCTATCTTCATTTCCCACTAGATGGTGCTACGTATCGCTAGTTGTTGCATAGTTGCTCAACATTTTCTTTGACTTGTTTGCTGACATTTAAGTCATGACTTCCAGGACACAGTCCAGTATCATCGGTCTGCTGGTAAGCACATCAGAATCATGAAGTCATAAATGGGGTTCTAATTATCACACCAAGTTTATGTTTGATGCGGGGAGTGTAGAACCAGCATGTTTTAAAGCAGATCCATCCAATTCTGGCCTCCACGATAAAATAAAGAAGCTGAGATCCTAGGAAGAGTGCAGAGAAGATGATAAAAGGCCTGCAGGATATATCATACAATGAAGGGAGCTAGGTATGTCTAGCCTAACAAAGAGGATTAGAGGTGTCATGATCGCTGTCTTCCAGTACATGAGGGGCTGTCACAGAGAAGAGGGAGGGACTCAATTTATTTTCCATAGCACCTAAGGGCAGGAAAAGAAGCCATGGATGGAAACTGGTTAAAGAGAAATCCAATCTGGAACTAAAGAGAAATTTCCTGGCAATGAGAGTAATTAATCAGTGGAATAGCCTGCTTTCTGGAGTTGTGGGTGCTCCATCACTGGAGGTTTTCAAGAAAAGATTGGACAGCTCTTTGTGTGGGATGGAATAAGGTCTTCTGATTTGGGCAGCAGATTGGACCACCTCTAAAGTCCAATGATTCTATGATTCATTTTTCATTAGTGTTAATTTTTGCATATGCTTTACCTGCAAGCATCCTTTTTGCAACCTTTTCACAGGGGAAACTGCAGTATGGTGTATATTTTTCTTTGCTATGCACACATGGTGCCTCTTCCCACAATATACACAGTATCATGCACAATTTTGTGAGGTCCAAATTGTTTCATAGCATTTTCAAAAGCATGTATTTAGACATGCACACCAGGCATTGGTTGATTAATTGATTGATAGATGTGAATTATCTGGGTACCATTTCCCATTTTGGGAGGGGGGAGCTCAGCTTTATTCACAAATGCAATACAAGCATAATTGTACAAAAACTTTTAGTGATGTATGTTTCATGCATAGTCTGGGAAATGAATGGTGCTTCTGACAGGAAAGTCTTTTGAACTCTTCTTTTATTTACTCTGTTTTGACCTTGATCCACTATCAACTGCTGATTGTAAATGCTTATAAGAAAATCTTGAAGCCAGAAAGAGCAGCTGCTTAGAGCAAGAAGAATTTATTTGTTTAGATAAATAGAGCGCAGGATAAATTACTGAAGAATTAAGGCACATTCTCAAGCAAAGAGTAGCACTTGCCTTCTTCATCTCAACATGTAATACAGATTATGACAATTTGGGCTGGTTCAGACTGTGGCAGGCCAGTTCTAACTTGCATGCCACAGAAAAGAGGGAGGGGACACATTTTTATGAGCAGAATACACATAAAATCTTCAACCCATCAAAAAAATAATAATTCTGCCCCATGATTTAATCAATGCATCTATGTGTTAATGCATATCGCTAACTAGAATGGTAAAGGATGGGAGGTGGCCTGTGCAGTGGCTATAAAGGCAGTTTGTAAATGGACAATAGCAACATGAGAAAAAAGGGGGTTGCTAATGCCATACACACCTATATCTCTATAGAAACAAAAACAAACCATTCTTTTCCCCAGAGTAAAAATACTTTTAAAAGATATTGTTCCATCAGAGTAGCCATTCATAGAACCAAGCCTAGATCCTTAAAACCAACATTGCCATCATTCTAAATCTAAAAAGATGAACACTTGCTCCAACAGGCTACACACAATTGATCTTTGCACTATTCACTTTCACAACTACCCACATTCTGTTTGCTTTTCCTTGAGTTCTTAATAGAATTCTGGCTCTGGTTTTAGCATAGTATCCAGGCACATTTCTGCAGCCACTACAACCCCATAGGATTGCTGCAGTGAAACCTTGCAAAATGTCCCAGAAATGATTTTTCATAAACTTTTTTTTTACCATAAGCCTCTACTCGGTTTAAAACCTAGTAACAACGGCTTTTTCATGCCAAGAAATTCAGAAGAGCTGCTCGTTGAATACAAATTCTAATAACTATTTCCATCCAGTAGAAAAGCACTGTTTTGTATCTGTTTCAAAAACAACAACAACAACAACAACAACGGTATCTTGAATTCTGTGGCCCAAAAACCTCAGGTATTACTGTCGCTTGCAAATATTGATTTTTGTATGGAAAAGTGTGATTTATTCAGATTTAGCCAATTGATCAGATAAGTAGCATCTAAAAGTATAATCAAATCTGAGAAGCATCATTCATTCCAAATGTAGGAAGCCACTTTCTGTCTTCTCATTATTCAAAGAGGCCATTAGTTGCATTTTAGACATTCATTCTTGGACACTTCAGATTTTTACAGCTAAAGAATGAAATGCTATTTCGTTTGGAAAAATTGCACGAAACATGCAAGACAAAGAAAATAGGAGGATTTTTTTTTCAGTAACAATGGCAGACACTTGGACAATAGCCATGTGTCACATGTTCTCCCACATGCATGGGATTAGAAATTTGAAGCATAATTCAGATATTATTTTTGTGCTTTTTGTTGACATTCTCAATACCTGCAACTCCTATGGAAGTTACAGCAGAGAGATGTAGCTCTGTTAAAAGGACATATATTTGAAAGACCTGAACTGCTATCTTAGGAATTGTGGGAATATACTATCAAAGGAATATTGGACTTCTGTGCTAGGGAGAACGTTTTAAGCGTTTCTCACAAAATCACAATTTTAGGGGCTCCCTAGAAAGTGTGAATGATGATGAGACCCCCTTGTAGTTCAGAGATGCTTCAGGTAAAAAAAAAAAAAAGAAGCCAGCCTCTTCTCCAAATTTTCTCACGATTGGTTCCTAAATGCCATCACTGTTCTTCTTCATACTTTACTTAATTAAGGTTTGTCGATTTGCCTTATTAACAAAGCTAATATGCTGGTTATGATGGGAAGCAAATCTGTTTGCAAACCTCTCCAGATCAACAGACCATTTCAACACTGAAGTCTCTTGCCCAAAGATTTGTCATGCAGTCCCTCAACGGGCCCTTCTTCCTACCCATAGACTATAAATATATGGCAATTTTTGTTGAATGGAATGGTGGAGTATCTTTTTTCCCCCCTTTGAGCCAATCAAAAACTCTCCAACTGAATCAGTGATTCAGTTTTTAAACTTGCTTTCAAAATGAACTAGATTCTCCTTAGATTAAACCAGACTGTCCTGCATGTTCTCCAGGCTAGTGTTCTATTCCTGGCCAAGACTCAAATATCAGAAAGATACATTCCTAAATATGGTTTTACCCAACCCACTTCCTAGACAAAAAGGAAAGTAAGCTACTGGTTTTCATTTGGGGGCAGGGGAGCGATTAAATGAGGCTTCTTTAAATAAATATTAGCGAGAAACACCTGCTGCTCAAGGAGTAATCCTTTAAAATATCTGCTGAAGAATTCTACTAGTTTGGAAAGTCCTTTCCTTCCCCATCCCCGATTCTACCCATGTTTTTCCTAACATGGCCAACTGACTTTTTATTATTTTAAGTGGTTCACACACACATAAACACACTCAATATCCAGGGCTTTGTGGAGATGGCAAAAAAGGCTACCAATGCAATTATTAATCCCACCCCCTGCATTGACAGGAACAAATAGCTTCAGGAATAAACTGAAAAAGCTGTGCACTGTCACAGCGAATGATTACACATACATGGGGAACTTAGTGGAAAACTTGCCCCAGCAGAAGTTTAATGAAATTTTCCTTCCCTCGTTTAATTTTTAGAGTGTGCTACGGTTTTGCTCACAAAGAGGTGGAGAATGTTGAGATGTCATTTGTGCCATGTTCTAATAAAGACTGCTGTAATCATCCCCAGAGTATCCTCCACTGCTCTGGATATTATAGCTGCCACTCACAGAGATCCCTCCGGAGGCACCTTTGCTAGAAACCCCGGTAGTTGCAGAAATATGTGTTGTGTTTGTGCTGCTGTATCCTCTACTCTTAGAACTATACCCTCCACTTCCAGGACTTCCCACATTGGCCAGATCAGAATTCTTAGGAGTAGATGAGACCACAGTAGGGCTACCACTTTGTCCAAACCCAGAGCTTATGGAGGATTTAGAAAGGCTGTCTCCACTCCTAGGGGTTAGCGCATGTTTGCTGCCGTGATCTCCACTTCTAGAGCTGGATCTTCCACTGCCGTTCTTGTTTCTTTGGGTGTAACCTTGTCTCCTTCCGATTGTCCTGCCATAAGAACATCCACCAGCTACAGAGATGTTGGAAGAACCTACAACAGCTATAAGAATAAAGGGAGGGGGGGAAGCAATGCTGAATAACATTTTTTTTTGTAATCCAAGGTTATGTATCTAGGGCAGGAGTAGGCAACCTTGGCTCTTTTATGACTCGTGGACTTCAACTCCCAGAATTCCTGAGCCAGCTGGCTCAGGAATTCTGGGAGTTGAAGTCCACGAGTCATAAAAGAGCCAAGGTTGCCTACCCCTGATCTAGGGCATCAGGCAAATATTCATGACAATACACATGTGCGTTTCAAAACTACTTACATATGTTAACAGGAGGAGCATTAGATATCCTGTGGAGAAAGGAGAAAGAATAATTATTAATGTCCCAAGAAGCTAGTTCTGTATCCCAGATATCAGTATGAAGGAGATGGCTGATTGAGTTTCAAATGTTTAAATACTTTCCCAGCTCATTTTTGAACTGTGATCCTTTAGGACAGTTGGTAGATTCAAATGCTGTATATTAGTGTATTTGCCCTATGTTTTTTACACACACCCCCAATCACAATCTGGAGTTTATTAAAAGTGAAGAATTGGCCATAGACAGTGAAAAGCAATTTAAATAGCAGCTCTCTCTATACTCAAAGTATCAGCTGATTCATTCAGTATTTTTTATTACAGCACATTATAGTCCTGAAATATGATCAGATGACTTTCCCACAAGAACATTAGCAATCTGTAGTTGTGTGTTTTGGGATTTTTTGCTGTTTGTTTTTTTTTTAACCCACTTACCTGTTCTCTTCTCCCTCCAGAAGTGACTTATACATCGCAATCTCAATATCCAGGGCAATCTTGACATTCAGCACGTTCTGGTAATCTCTCAGCAGGCGAGCCAATTCATCTTTTGAGCTCTGCAGATTGTTCTCCACCTCAGTTAGCTTTAACTTGGCATCTTTCAAAGCACTCTCTCCTCGCTGCTCATTGTCAGCAATAGATGTCTGTAACGCATCAATCTTGAAAAGAGCCAGACCAAAAAAAAAAAAATGAACTTGGGACAAGTTGAGCTTCCTCAGCAGGAAGTGGAGAGGAGAGAAAGGGGCACAAAATGACTGGGGGGGGGGGAGAAAGAAAGCACGTTCTTTTTCTAAATCCATCAATCAGATTGTCTGAATTTTAGTGATCCTTAATGTTCTATCAATTCTTCTGGGGATGAGGACGAAGTTGATCTTTAGATGGCTCCCCAAGAAGAAGAGGACAGGATAAGTCAAATGTGCTTGAAGTGAACTTTAATTATACATTTAATCTGCTGAGTCCCCATGTCATTTGTCATTTATCCTTTCTGCATATTAAAAATGATCATTCAGTAGTATATTTTGGAGGGACTCTGGGGACCGCATTTAAAGATGATGGCCCCTAGGTTTTGCATCCCATTTCAGAATGATCAAAATGTCTGTTAAATTCATAATACTAGAGCCATACTATCTGAACAAATTCAATCTTGTCTGAACTTGGAAGCCAATCAGAGACAAGCCTAAGTAAGACTTGATGAGAGATCTAATGTAAATATCAGCACTGTATTCTTAATCTACAAAATTAACACTGCAAAAATTCCCAATAAATTCACATCTGTTTGTTCATCAGATTTATATACCTGCTCATCTCACAAGTGCATCCATGGATGGCATTCAATAAAACTAACAATTAAAACAATCTTAAGTCACTATTAAAAACAATTAGACATATATTTATAAAAACAAGATCATGGGAGAATGCATAATGCAGCCAACTTGTGGCCTCCTTGTTACCAAGGGATCCTGAGGCCTGCTGAAAGATTTCCTAAAGGTCAATAGGATTGGAATTAATCTTGGAGGGAAATGGGCAGTTTAGAATTATGAAATAAATAGTGAGTGAGTGAGAGAAAGAGAGAGGGGGGAGGGAGAGGGAGAGGGAGAGAGAGAATGTCAACATTGGGGGGGATGATGTTCCAGAGGGCAGGTGTGCCAGGGCAGAAAAGGGCCATCCCCAAGGTCCCATCAGATGCAGCTCCTTAGCGTATGGAATCTATAACATGCCTCTCCTGCTGGACCCGATAGGAAGCGTAGATACAACTGTGGGGAGGCAGACCTTCAAACAACTTGTCTTCATGCCATATAGTGTTTTAAAGGTCAAAATCCGCACCTTGAACTGGACCTGGAAACAAACTGGTAACCAATACAGCTCATGGGGCAGTGTATAACATGTACCTTTCTAAGGCCTGCACTGCCCATGCTGCTTCCTGCCTTTCTCAGGATCAGACAGGACATGGATTTGATCGTGTCCTTAGTTTTTTATATACATGCCCAATTCTAGATTTTAAAATTAAAACTATCAAATGTAAAGTGGTAAAGTGTGCTTTGTTCCCTGTGCATTTAGTGAAGAGGTGGGTAATGGATGATTCTTCGGATGTTGGACTTTTCTTGCCTTCACAGTGCAACCTCAGCCCTACTGATGGAAGACAGGTGGGAGTTGTTCAATAGCACATTTTCTTTTGCCTATTCTAGACTTAGATCAGCTTCTTTACCTGTTTTTTGGTACTTTCCACTTCACTTCTGCATCTCTGGACCATACGGGTAAGTTCTTGGATTTCATGACGGCCACTGCTGAGATTGTTGCAATAATTTCCCCATGTGTTCTGTAGCTCTTTGTACTGAAATACAGGAGAAAGCCTATTCTTTTATGTTTGTTGTGGCTTTGTAACTTTGGATTCTACTAACTTCAATAATCATAAAAACACTCATTTCCCTCCAGGGAACATAAGTTAAGCCAAGCCTACCTTGTTTTCATACAGAGCATTGACCTCATCCTTGCTCTTCTGGGCAATCTCTTCATACTGAGATCTCACTGAGTGTATTATTCCTTCCATGTCAAGGACTCTACTGTTGTCCATTGACACAATAACGTTGGTTTCTGCATTTGCTGCCTGTAAACTCTCTATCTCCTGTCAAGAAGAAGTTGCAAAAGATGTTGAAAGTACTCTGAATAATGCAGGAAACTCCTATCCCAGTACAAGAAGACATGCTAGAAAGGTTCACATCTTCCCCTTTGAGCAAATGATCCAATTATCCATTATACCATTTCCCTCCACTTGTTAACCCCTTCCCTCAAGACTCTAGAGAAGACTGCTGCACCATTCTTCATTCCTAGGATAGCTGGTTTGATTTGCAATACATGCAACCTACTTCAATAACAGTGACAGAAAAGTTTCAGGGACCATAGCAATAAAGGAGAATATTTGTATCTCAGGGTTGAAATGAGGGGTCCTTGGTGCTCTCTGAGCCTGATTGTTTTCTTGCAAACATTTCATTATCCAAACTAGATAACATCATCAGTCTAGCACTGATGATGTTACCTAGTTCGGGTAATAAATCATTTCAGGGACTATATCAGATTGTAAGACATCCACAACTATATTCTCAAATTTGGAAGAACAGTCAAGATGTTCAGAAAGAATATCCAGGAACTTCACTGCCACTCTCATGAAATATCACCTAAAGTGGTCACATCACTTTTATAATTATAGAGCCTGATGAATCCTGCTCCACCTGTTCTCTGATGCAGATATTTATAAATTCTTGAACTATATACTGTATAGTACATGAACTTGGTTTATAATTAAAACCAACCATCATTTACGGTGGTCAATAATAGCAATAGCACTTATTCATCATTCCATAGTGCTTTACAGCCCTCTCTGAGCAGTTTAAAGAATCAGCCTATTGCCCCCAACAATCTGGGTCCTCATTTTACCAACTTTGGAAAGGATGGAAGGCTGAGTCAACCTTGAGCTGCTCAGGATCGAACTGCTGGCAGTTGGCAGAATTAGCCAGCAATGCTGCATTCTAACCGCAGCACCACCATGGGTCCTCTATTTAAGGAGGATCCCCTGCAATGTTTGCAATGGGCCTGCAAATCGAAATCCTTTCTGTTGCTTGGATTCTTCTGATACATAACTATTTGGGACAGAGCTGGATCTTTTCCATCCCTCTGCCTTGGTTTATGAAAAAGAAATTAGATTCTCTCCTTTCTTTTGGCCAACTCCTGGTACAAAGTAAAATGGGGGAAAAAGGAACCCAAGGGAAACAGAGATTATGAATCTTTTCAGTGCAGAAAGAACAAACAAGCCACATATGTGGAAATCCTTACAGCTTCAAAGACACATCGGATGAAGTTGAGCTCCTGTCTCAGGGATTCCACTTTCACTTCTAGATCAACTTTGTTGCTATAGGCAATATCAACATCCTGAAAAGCATGACAGAAAGTACATTTATCTTAATGGAACAAAACTCACTTTTCAAAACATTTTATTATGTCTTCTCCCCCCAAAGAATTTTTTTCCATATTCTCCACTCATGACTTTGATATGATTGTTGATCAAATCAACCTTCAGTTCCTCATTATTATTATGAGTGTCTTATAGAGGATTTTTTTCCTAGTCTGGTCTCCTCCCAATATATTGGACAATTAGTCCCATTAACCCTAGCCGCTTAATTAGCATTGGCTATATGGTTTACTCTACTGGCATCTCGCGGATCATCTGCTTTATTGGAAATGTGTGTCAGCCTGGGACCTATCATGAGAAAAACAAGCATGATTTCCAAACACTGAAAATTTGAACACCAGTAAAGAAGATTGGGCTGTTTGTCCCATCTCTCCTCTTCCATTGGTCACTCAAAAATTGACAGATAAGTTCTACAGGGGACAGTGTCACCATTTCCAGCAGAATGTCACCATCAACAAGGGATGATTAGCTGGAAGGGATAGGAAAAGAGCATGTCTCCTGAACTCCACTCTATATACTACCAGTGATTAATGACTGAGGAGCACGGAAATGTTTGTATGTTATGAATGGATGAATGAAATCAATTTGCACCCTGTCTCAAAATGTCACAAAGTGGCTCATAGTGATCTCAAGTAAATTTCACAGGCCTTTATTTTTATGCAATAAACCTACGTTCCATCTGATCCAGCATTACTACTACTCAGAAGTGTGTACATATTGGGTGAGGGTTGAATCATTTTAATTACATTTTTTTTGAGATATAGGAACCAGAAATATCTAACCTTTTTTAGCAGCACAAAATTATTTTCTGCACTCATCCGGTGGTTGATTTCCTCTTCATACCTTGAGGTGGAAAAAAAGGAGATATCTAAGAACTTGAACAAACAAATATACATGCAAGGTACACATAAAACAAATGAATTGCAAAATTTGTGTGAGTGAATGTCAGGATTGGGGCAGAGTGTGAGTTCAAAGCTTTTGCCTCACGCCCCTTGATGGTTGGAGCAGAACTTGGGGAGAGGTTTCATTGGCTGGATTAGGATCCTCCTGGCTATTGTACAGATAATGAATCATCTCAAAGAATCTCAATTATCTCAAAAGGACAGACTTCAGCCAGCATTACTCCATCTAACACTAGGTCTACAAATACTTTCCGGATTTGAAGAAGGAAGAGGAGATACTAGGACACACATAGCATGCTTTGGGAAAGGAAAGGTAGAACTTTGTTCTTCAAAAGCTGGGAATCTTTGTATGATGTTCAGCCAGGGCTCCACCCCAACCTTTTCTGTATGAAAGACAGTAGTACAAAATGGGCAATAATTTTTAATGCTGCCCGAGACTGCTCTAAGCCAGACTTTATCACCTTTTTGGTTGGTTAGACTAAGGTCTGCCCTTCACCCTAAGTCAATGGGACTTTGACAAAAATAAATAAATAAGGGAATAAATTTTATAACTAACCAACCAACTAACTAACCAAACAACCAACCAACCAACCAAACAAACAAACAAACAAACAAACAAATCCAACGCAAACTTAACTTTGCTTCCTTTCCTTTTAAATTAGCACATCATTAAATTAATATGATTAAGCACATTGGATATAATTGCCCTTCCCACTTCCACAGGGCAGGTAGCAATTAACATATTCTGTCACATTAGCAATTATAAGCAGGTGGCAATTTGGGCAGGGACCCTGAGAACCACACTCAAGTTTTTGGAGGGCACACATTGCTCGGGGCCCCAGGTTATGGATTTCTGCTTTAAAATACTAGAAACAATGCAAGAGATAATAGCCAATGTGCTATAATGGATAAAGGTCTCCCTCTCCTCACCCATGCCAGAAGAAGACCTACATTCAGCCAGGAGCTCTGTTGCCCCACAATAGTCCAGAAAGGGCAGTGCCCACCTGACATGATGGGTAGCAGGCCTCTGCTTGCTACTACAGAATAAAAAGGTAGATCCATATTTAAGAGAACCCAATTCCATTTTCAAGGCTCCCCAACTACTTTCTGACACGGGTAGGCCTTACGAGCATTATTCTCTTCCCACCTGCTTTGACCTCTCACTGATTACCTGCTTTTGAACTCTTCAACCATATCCTGGAATTTTGACTGCTCCAATTGCAGCTGTTCCCTTTCATTCAGCAGCCGCTGCAGCTGCTGCTTCAAGGATGTGATGTAATTTTCAAAGAGAGGCTGAATGTTGGCCTTCTCCACAGGCTCCTGCTGCTGCAGGCAGTTCCATTTGGTTTCCAGAAGCTTATTCTGTTGCTCCAAGTGCTTGACCTGTAATGAGACAAGTGTCAAGATGCTCTTCTACTATTTCAGACAATCAACAGATCCTCAGGATCTATTATATTAGGAAGGTAAAGGAGCCTACTTTTTGACTGAAAGAAGAATTATTCTTTCTCTTGTTATTGATATTATTGTTTTGGAAAAAAAAACTAGGTATCACCATTTCATGTCTTGGAAGAGAGGATTTAAATGGGCTATAAAAGCCCAGTTAATGAAAAAGAAATAAATAAAGGGCACACATCCAAATGTGTGCTTTGAACATGAGTAAAACAAAGTCAATCTCTAAAAATATTCTTAGCTTACTTTAGAATAATTGACTTAAAAGTTGCAGCAATGAATTACAGGGTGGAACTTCCAATGTATCATTGGAAAAACATGGCAATTTGCAATACTCAGCACTTGCAATGCCTTCCTAACTAATGCATACAGGATGCTAACAAAGGCTGGATTAGCTGTGACTTTCTGTTCAATAACTTCTATTAGTAGAACTGCTCTGGGCTGTGTGTGTGTGATGATGGGTCCACTGCAGTCCACACATAGACAAATGTTGCACAACTCCCCCAAAGATGTTGTAGAGCAGTTTCCAGTACAGCACTTGGTTAGTCCACCAAAAAGCTGTAAAAAGTGGTTGAGAAATACATTTTGACAGGACAAGGAGAAATATAGCCACAATTTCAAATAAATTTAATAATAAATACACTTTAAAAATTGAAACTCTCTAGATCTATGTGTAAGAGTCAGTTTACTGCAGTGGTTAAGGCACCAGGCTGGAAACCAGGAGAGGTGAATTCTAGCCCCACCTTATGCAACAAATCAACTGCATGACCTTGGGCCAGTCACTCTCAGCCTTAGGAAGGAAGCAATGGAAATCTATTTCTGAAAAACCTTGACAGGAAACCTGGAGGGATTGGTTCAAGCAATCGCCAGGAGTAAAAAAACTAACTCAAAGATATACATACAAAAAAAAATAACCCTCCAAAAAGCCTATGTATAGGAGAATAGGATTGTGCATCACTCCAAAGCCATATGCATTTCCTCCCCCCAAAAGCTCATTGCTTTAAGAAGGAATCTCTAACAAATGGTCCATTGTTGCTTTTTCATATACAGATAAGTCACGATTTATGCAAGTCTGCATAATTGGATGCTAGATTTAGTGCACGTTGTAGGTTAATGTTGAGGCTAGCACGTGTGCAGTTGCCATTTTAGACATTGCTAGTCTTTGTGTGTGCAAACTGGAGAAAAGGAAGAGGCCATTGGAGGAAAACAACACAAGTTCCAAATAGAAGAAGAATCTGGTATAATTGAACGACATGGACATGGTCCTAGCAACCCTAATCTGTACTCAGTAAAGTTTTAGTCCATCCGGTAAAGAACATTCTCTAATTAGAATGCCCAGTGAGAGCTTTCTAAGAAAACACAACAGAACCAGCCTTACCATTCACTCTTCTCACCTTATCAATGAAGGAGACAAACTTATCGTTCAGGGTTTTGATCTGCTCCCGCTCCTCCTCCTTCACTCGAGAAATCTCCGGATCAATCTGGATCCTAAGAGGCTGCAACAGGTTTGGGTTGATTCGGACTGTATGGATGCCCCTCCCTTCCCCAAAGCGGCTAAGGCATTCATAACCGACAGCACGTCTGACATTGCAACCCAGACTTCGAGTGCTGAAACCTTCTGGCCGATAGCGTCTGCCATGGCTATTCCCACCACCAACACTCTGGCTGGTGAATGCTTCGTGTCTGTGATGGCCGCTGCTTTGGTTGCCAGCTGCTCTGGCCTGGCTGTTGGTCCCTGCACTTTGACTGCTAAATTCCTCATTCTTTGCAATTCCGGCACCAAAGCCCACCGGCCCAAGACTGTAGCCAAAAGGCGCAGCCCCGTAGCCCTGCCTGCTACTCAGGTTTGCTCCAGAGTATCTCCTGCTATGCTCAAGGAGGCGGAAGGAGGAGGACGCATTGCTGCCCGCATGGAGCCCACCGCTAGAAATATAATTCCGTCTCCCATTAAAGGATTTAGAGGTGCAGCACTGCCTGCTCATGATGGCTAAGGAAAAGGTAGAACCCAAGCAGTTGAAGCAAAGCTGAGTTGCCAACAGAGCTCCCAAAGAGGAAGATAGAGGCTTACAGACAGAAGCAAAGCCTTTTCCTGCTCACATCAGGAATTATTCTTTATATACCTTCTGGGATCTGGGCTGGGCTACAAAATAGCCGTCAGGTTAGGAAGATTATGCTTCCTTTCCTTGGAATGCATAAATAGTCAACATGCAGGCACATTTTCTTTTTATTTTCCAATGTGCAAATAAAAAAGACTTCAAAGAAAGCTAACGTGATGCGGGTGAAATAATCTGAAATGGAAAAATGTTGCTTGCCTTGCATGCCTCTTGATGGTGATCTTGAGTGACCTAATTAAACTGTTTTCCATATGGCAATTAGGCCTGAGCTAAATGATTTCAGAGAAGTCTTTTGCATTTTGCCTTCTGGAAACTTTGACATTGTAGCACCTTGTTTCAGGCAAGAGTGAAGATTACCCAGATTTCAATTTTAGGGCTTCCTATTCAAAGCTGCACAAATCATAACCGTCTGTTCCTAACCCTGATAATGTCAAAATGCTGAAACTTTGTATTATGAGATCACAATGTAAACTCTGCCTTCTTACATTGTGATGTCACTTGGAAATATGTAAGATGCACAGCTTGTGCTGCAGTGATGTAAAGCACATGTGACACATGCCTCCCCCCACTCAAGGATGGCTATGCCAACCAATTGAAGCAAATGAAATATTCCACAAGACCTCTAAAAAATCCCAATTCCCTTGGCACATTTTAGTCAAAGTTACTACATAAAACTTGAACAGAGACACTCTCTGATAATGTGATACCATTTATGAAGGAAAGTGGATTTTTCCAGTTCTTTCGAAAGAAAATTATTTTCAGAGATGAGCCATAGTAACTGACTTCTCTGGCTTTAAATTTGTAATAATTACAATGATTTGATCTTATAAGTCATAGAATTACAGAGTTGGAAGAGACGCTGGAGACCTTGTTGTCCAACCCCCTGCTTGAGCAGGGATCTCTATACCATTATGGAAAAATGCATATTCCATCTCTTCTTGAAAACCTCTAGTGATGGAGCACCCACAACCTCTGGTGACAAACTGTTCCACTGATTAATTTTTCTCACTGTCAGGAAAATTCTCCTTAATTCTAAATTGGATCACTTTTTAATAATCTTCCATCCATTACTTCTGTCCTGCCTTCAGGTGCTTTGGAAAATAGGTTGACCCCCTCCTCTCTGTGTTGTTGTTAATTGCGAAGTCGTGTCCGACCCATCGCGACCCCATGATCAACCATCAATAGTAATGGAACAAGAAATATTATACCACAGACTAGCGCTTGGTAGATGCAGTGATGTATGTCTTGGAAAAGATATTTGGATGCCATGACCTGCAAACATGAAAATAGTGCAAGCCATGGTATTCCCTATGGCTCTATGGAAGCAAAATTTGCTCTTGGTCTTTGAAGAAGAAGGGTAGAAAACGTATTGATGTTTTTGAACTTTGGCATTGGAAAAGAGTTCTGAGAATACCCCTGAAAGTCAAGAAAAGAAACAAATGGATCATAGAACAAATCAACCCCCAGAGTTCTGACTCAAGGCATAAATGATCCGGCTCAAATGATCCTACTTTGGACATAGTATTTGAGGACTTTGTTCTCTGGAGAAAGATCTAAACTTGGGAAAGGCAAAAGGAAAGTGAAGAAGAAGATGACCAGCAGCAAAGTGGATGGATTCCGTTACAGTGGTAATCAGCGTACCAAAGGAAAATCAGGTTAGGGAAGCAATATCATGGTGAAAATCAATTTATGTGGTCACTAAGAAATGACACCAACTTGATGGCGCATTTAAAAAAACCAATGACTCAGAACTATATAATTTTTTTCCATCTGTGCTGAGCTCCGGCTGTGTTTGAATCTGAATGTAGTCGATTGTATTTGTTTGTGGTGACAAATTTGTAATGATTGTTTATTTTCATGTCAATCTCTTTTCATAATAAGAGTAGCCCCATGATCCAAAATTTGGTAGCACTTAAGCCATAAGAACTTGTGTAATTTTTTTCTTGTCATTTTTGTCATTCTTTCGGAAGAAGTATGGATCTTTTAGTTTTGAAGGGGAGATTTTCCATGATGGGCATATCCCTGCTTCCCCAGCCATTGTTTTTTTTCAAGACACATGTCCTGAGTTGGAGCCACCAAGTCCAGCATCTGTGGGGCAACAGGAGGAAGCTCTTCTGCGATTCTATCACACCTTGTTTCAGCCAACTCCCTTCTATTAAAAGGATATTTGCCTTCTGGGCTGCCCCAGGCAGCATTCATTTACCTCAATGTCTGCAGACAAGGGCTCATTTGCCATGTTAATTCTTCGTGCCTACATGGGCTAATTTGCTTGAGATGGAGAAGAATTGCCAGGCTCACCAACTTCTTGGAGGAGGAACCAACATCCCCCACAATATTATGATTGTTGATAGCTAGTAAAGTTTCCATTGGGGAGGCACTACTTGTAGCTGGGTGAAGGGTAGACTCATGCTTATGCATAAATGTATGATTGGCCTTGGATTTCTTTTAGAGAGCGGATGCTGCTATCCAACAATTATTAAAATCTAAGATGATTGTCTCTTTCCGTCACAACAACAACAGCAACAAAAGCCTTGTCCTACATATTTCCATGCTTGCTTATGCAAGAAAGTCTCAGAGAACAAAGGCAGTCTTTAGGTATTGTAAAGAAAGACTGAAATAAAAGTGTTTGAACTGCTGTATTTAAAATTTTCCAGAGTGGGATCAGAAGGAGACACAACAACCTAGTCATGCTAATGAATTGCCTTGTCCAAATACTGTGCAGTATTTTTCATCTATGTTTTAAAATAGAGATTGATCCCATTGTTTGTTTCTCCCCTGATCCAGGACATCAACCACCCAAACTTGGTTTGTTTCACATCCCACTAAAGATGCTTCAAATAACAGCACTATAGCTTTGATGGCCAACTTTTGCAGCTTCCAGGTGATGTACACAACCTCAGGCAATGGCTTGGATGTCCTTCACTTTTTACCAAAAATCCTTTGACATCACATGAGATTGATATTTGAGAGGGTAGATCCAGAGTGGTTGCTTGCCCCATTACCAGCATGGCCTGACAACCATTTTTGGAGGACCAAAATGGATGATGTTGTCTTCTATTAAACTCCCATTCTGGGCACACCGTGTCCAGAATACATTTTCTGTGTTATGTCACTTTGAACACACTGGTCCACTTCAGCTCATGGTAGGTTAACCTCAACAAATGATTGACTGCTGTGTAGAGTCCCTGAAATACCTATTCATCCTACTGCAAGGTCATCCCCAAAGAGCAGCACCATCTTGTACTTGGAGGATTAACTTGGTTTCTGATATTCTTTGAATGATAAACATATCATAATCAGTAGTAATAGTAGTAGTAGTAGTAGTAGTAGTAGTAGTAGTAGTAGTATTGAACAAGTTCACCACTAAAGCACTAAAATTCCCCCATTGCAGATCTTAATGTTAATTTGTTAAATTTATATCCATTTTTCTTCCAGGAAGGTACATAACCTTCTTTCTTCCTTTCATCTTTATAGCTTTGCTAGGTTGGGCTGAAAGAAAGATTAAAGCGAGGGAATCCTCAAAGCGAATCCTCAAAGAATTTCATGGCTGAACGTGATCTTGGGGTCTTCAGAGTTCAGCAAATTAAATACTCTATCCTCCAGTTTTTATTCTTATTATTTATTAAATTTGTTTGCCGCCCAACTCGTCACAAGGTGGCTCTGGGTGGCTTTAAACATTAAAATGAAACCATAACTATATGAATAAATATATAAAATCACATTAAAATTATAATAAAATATAAGTTATAACCAAAGATGGGGAGGGAGGGAGGAGAATATACAAAGGAGGGAATTAAATTTGTGAATGCAGGAATGCATGCTGAATATTAATACTCTAACAACAATGTCAATGATGACGACAATGATGATTATCTATTGGCAACATGGATTTATTGTAAGGGGAGTGTTTAAAAATCTGTGACAGCAAATGAATTTCACTTGCAGGTTATTGGAGAGAAAAGAAATTTGACCATTTCTTTCTAGAGCAATGTCAAAGCATATAAAATACTCTTTTAAAAAATAAACCATCAGTTATTCCAAGCATATTTTCCACCAGTCTCTGTTTTCAAAAGTATAGTTTTCATTTATATAAATGTATACTGTATATGTTTGCATCATTACTGACAGATCTACTGATTGCCCATGTTTGAATGACTATCTTTTTGGATAGTGGAAAGACCTGGATTTTACCTTCATTGCATACTACATATATAATTGAATTTCAAAAGGATATAATGAAGTTCTGTTCACTGGACTTCTCATTTCTGGATCATTTCATCACAAAAATTAGATTGACCTATTTTCCCTCTTATCAAACTTGCGAACATTTTTTTCACCTTCACAAATATACACACTATAACCCAGAAGAGGAATTGGTGCACCACCTTCATATGTGGCTTGGACATAATATTAATCGAATTTACCTGCTTCTCTGAAGTCATACCAATCAATTCTAACAAATCCAATACTTTTATTAGGATATCTCAATATTCTACAGTTCATTCCATTTCCAGAAACATACAGTATATTCTTGTTTCATTCTCACTCAGGCAGCTATTTCCACTTCTAAGATTAAAAATAATTTTGGAGCCATGTTGCCCACTACCAGAACATCAAGTCATAAAGCTCTTGCTGTGATTATAATTCTAGAGCCATCAAAGATAGGTTCATAATTTCTTTATTTTGAGTAGTAATTTTGTTTAATAATTAAGTTGATTATTTGTTTATTATTGTGTTTAATTTTAAATTATCTAAATTTATTTTAAAAGGGAGTTAAAGTGTGTTATAGATTTGGTTACATAATTAGCTGGATAATGTTATTTAGATTATGATTAATATATTTGTAACCCTGTGAACAGCTCTGGGAA